TGCTGGTCAAGTGATGGGCTAAATGGAGGAATCACAGCTAAAACTCAACTCCATATTTTGGATGGCAATTCTATATCTGAGTATGAAAACACAACAACTGATTCTTCCAAAGGTATTCCAATGTTAATCTCGTTTGTTCATGCGAATTCCACGGCGATCAAAGTGATGGGCCTCTTCGAAGGGCTCGAGTTCCTCCTACAATCTGGGCAACGGACCACATCCAGCCCATCAGGATTAGGACAAAACCCAATAAACTTCAACTTAACCCTACAGTATGAGTGGATCCCGGGTTGCCGTTTACAAACGAATTCTCCTCATTCCTCCTCAGCTGGACCACAGCCAGGCCGCTGAAAAGTCTGAAAAAGAAAACAGAAACATCACCGCCAACGTCTCGGACCCAGGAGGATCTCTACCTCCACGTAGACGTCGCAATCGGCTCGTCTTTGGTCAACGGGTCCTCCTCCAAAAAGCCTTCCGCTTCTTTCAAGGCCTGCGCCCCATCACCGCAACAACGTGTTTTTGCGGGGGAGAGGCTTTGGGAGTTCAAACTTGGAAACCGTTCACATGACTCCAGATTTTCTATCCAGAATGCCAAATTATGAATCATGGAAGTGGACTTCACCACCTGTTTGTCCAGGAAAATGGTCATCAAGCGGGCCCTGCCATCTACTTCCATGACTAGTTCACCGAGTGTAGATGCTAAGATCTGGAGAACACTTGGAATACCAAACAAATGTTTCTTCAGGTAGGGCTGAGGAATGAAAACGATTCAGAATTCTGCCTCAAGCAAAACTAGGAAACCTAGGCTCTAGACCATAGGAAGAGCAGCCTGAAAAACATACAATGCAGATGCAAATTGTTTGGACTGACAACACAACAAGAACAAGAGCAAAACAACCTGTTCCAATATGTTCCAATGTCTGTTCATCCAACAAACATATGCAGTAATTGTTCTTGCTTCCAATTCTCACTGCTTGAGCATTAACTGGGCGGCTACCTCGCCTCAACCAGCAGCTCCAAGTCGCCGGATGCCTCAGCCTCAATCATGAATCCGTTCGTGCCGGCGAAGAAGGATGATGGTTTGTCTCACGAAAACGTGGTTTCCTTTGTCAAAGAGACATGAGGCAAACAAGAATTCAGAAACAAGTTTCAGGTGCAAATTAAGGGGAACACATGCTGCATGTTCAAGCATGTGTTGTTTCATATTGTGTATTTCCATGCAAATGCAGCTTCCAGCTGGGTTACTCCAGTCTTGTTCGAGACATCTCCATCTCCATGAAACATCACGACTCTGCAGAGTCAAAGCTGTATGGTGCAACACAGAAGTTTCAAGAAGGCGATCTGAAAACAATAACCCTCTTGAAAATGAGACCCTGACAATGGCTCCCTGGAAGAATGGAATGGCTTCCTGGAAGACTGGAAGATTGCTTTACCTCTACCAACCAGTGGTTTTCAGGGTCCATGTTGCTCTTCCAGGGTGTAGTGCTTTCTTGTGAGCGCGAAAAAGGGGGCTCCAAGCAAAACCGTTCAACTCCTATGCGCAGAATCTGAGGCTGGATCTCTGAAAGCCTACAACCCAATGTTTTGGAGGTTCCATCCTAGCAAAACATTGTACCTTCACTTTCCCTTCACTCCTTCAGTGCAAATTTTAGGAGAGGTCACAACTACAGTGGTTCCACAATGTCCCACCCAGTATAAATATATATATATATGTTCCTGTTGGGCCCTGCATGCCCTTCCTGGCCCTGCATGGCCCTGCACGGTGCTTCGAAGAAGAAGCGGGTGTCGTGGCTCTCTGCAGCTGGGTGGCTTTCTGGAGTTTGGACATGAGCTTCATGTGTTTCTCCACCTCTTGTAGAACCTCTCAACCCCGCCGCAGAAAAACATACAAAACATGAGAAAAACGCAAAAAAACACGGAAAAAACGAAAACGCACAAAGAAAACGCACGGAGGCACATGCAGACTGCTAGGCAAACAGCTTCTTGTTCATTTCATCATTCCTTTCGATCAGTCTACAGTATTATACAGTATACTGTTGGATCAAGGGGAGATCCAAGGAGTGTTTCCAAAGTTTTGTTGGGATTTGTGGCAGTGGCCATGGAAAAGGCTGCCGGCCCTTGTTACAGTGATGGTGGTTGGACAGTCGTTTGTGTGCTCATCCTACATTCCATCTGCTTGAACGTGCCTAACAGTGCAGAATTATGGCATCAGTTGTTCTGGTGCTATTGCCCTCAAAAGGGCAAGTTGAGTGGCTATATCCAAACACTAGTGGATTTGGGGAACAACTCAACCAAACCTGTGGTGTTTCTCGTCATATGTTCAACAATAAGTCAACCGTCCAACCTATCCAATCGTCCAACTGTCCAACCTCCTCTGCATCAGCCGCATCATCCTCGTCGACCTTGGCATCCTGCAAGGGTGGATAAGGCGTGGATAAGGCCATGACATGGAAGATCTGGCCAAAACACAACCAAGTCATGTCATCTCACCGTCCTTAGCCCACTTGATCGCCCACTTGAGCTTCTCATACTGCGCAGGTCGGGCAAGGGGACGGCGACGCCAGGTTGATGGTCGGATGGGATTGCTAGGGGTGGCAGTTCTGGTCATGGCATCATGGCATAGCGGCTTATGAAGAGCTCCAAAACTGCTATTATTTTCAGAGAAATCGGTTTGAAACGATGAATACATATGAATAACACCTGTTCCTCTCTTGTCTTTCCCAAAAAAAAACAATCAACGACTTCGAATTACCTCCGAGATTCCGTCCATCCTCTCCACCCACGAATTCGATGACTGCTTGGCCAAGCAACCTCTCTCTTCTCGACGGCATCTTCCAGCTTCTCCGCCGCCTGGTGAGAGGCCAAGAGGATACAACGAACATCTCCGAATTTCGTCGTGAAAGTGAAGGACAAAAGGCTGCAGTTGAACATGCCAACCAGAACCCAGGGCTTTGCGCAAAAAATAATAGGCCAATATTTTTGAGGGAAACCATATGTCAAGCAAATCCGTTCGGCCACGAGCATGAGCCGCAAAGCAACAGACTGTGTACAGACTGCACCTCGTCCATCTTCTTGATCTCTTTCTGTGCCTCAATGGCGACGGAAGTTCTGCAAAAGGTCAAACGTGAAGACTAAGAACATTCCAAAAGAATCCAAAAGACATGGTGCCAGCACTGGTGTCAGCTTGTCTGCTCATCTTGTCCTAAGAATCCGTCTGCCTGTCACGGCAGCGTTCAGGCCCCACACCTTCGCAGGGGTCCGACCCGTTTAAGACCCTTTTGATGTGAGCCCAGATTCTTGGGGTGACTTGTGAAGGGTCTAGGGTTCGCAGGACTCATAATTACCCACAAACACACATAGTCCTCTACATGTCGGACATGTTAGTTATACACATTCCAGAGACGGCTGGAAACCACCGGATTGGCTTCTGTGAACAAGCTGCTAAGCCTTCAACTAAACAAGCGGCATAGGAGAATTGACCTCGGGGCTGATCCTACTTGCCAGTTCCTTTGAACCAAATATAAATTAATACGATTCCTGCTCGCAGGAAAACGCCATGAGAACTGCAGAACTGAGTGGCGTCCATGGCGGCTTTCATCTCCATGTGCGAGAGTCCAGCCTCCGTGCTGTGAAGACACTTGTTGCATTGGCCAAGCATACCAGATCTATTGGCAATCGGGAGATCTTCTTTGAGGCCTCAAATCCTGAACAGTCACACAAACCAAGACTGTCAGACCATCTGCGGGAACCCAGTCGCCATTCGTGGCAGAATTTTGTGGCCACGAGATGCACCAGTGCCTCATGTGCCAGCTCCAAGGCTTGCTGGATATGATGCAAGCCTCGAGGTGAAGCCAGTCGACTTGGTCTCGAGACGGATCAAAACGCTCATGTTTTCTGGACCAGACGGGTCCAAGCGACGGATGTGCACGGTCCAGCTGCGGTTCAAAGGACAATGCGTATCATGCCGCATAGGTCGCCTATCTGACCTTTTTCTTGATGGGAAGCTTGGGGTGGTGTTTGTGGTTCTATGCCTATGCATGTATTTAGCAATATTTGGCAGGCAAGAAAGATGGTTGATGAAGTGGTACTTGGACCGAGAACATGTCAAGGGTATAGGATGGGGCGGATCACTAGCACGAGTCCTGTGATGTCTTTCCTCTTCGATGGTCAAGCATAAGATCATCTTTCGCACCTGTAATGTGACAAGCATCTAACCGAAAACTACACCCCAAGGTAGAACACACACACAACAACTGAAACGAAACACAATAAAATTGGTTGGCATATCCATTTGTTGGCCACTTGTCATTGCTCATACTTTCTCATTTAACTATTCAAACACCAACAGCTATCTAATTGTTTGTCCATTCTTCCTAACGAAGTCGCCCATAAGTCCGCCTCGTCTCACAGCGGCCGGCTCCTGTGCCCGACCCGGTGCTGCCAACCCGGTATCTTGTTTCCCAGCTGGGCTCCAGTGCTCTTCAGCTTCTTGCCCTGAGCCAAGGCCTTGGACCGCGTGTGTTCCTTGTTCTGGGTGGAGCGCTGGGCCGAATGAACGGGAACCGAACGGGTTCCAGAGGCCTTTTGGGTCGTTGCCAGGCACCAGCTCTCTTGGTGGTTCAAAGTGGTTCGCCTGAGGCTATCCCGCTCTATTCTTCAACGACCAAGCAGTAGTAAGAGGTCATCTATGGGTCCGCTGGGGGTCCGGTGGATTGTGGACCATGGTGGACCATGGAGGACATCAAGGAAGATCCAATCTCATGAATCTGGTGATCTAAAAATCAGCGACCTTCTCCCAGGTCTTTTGTGGCACCGTGTAGCACCAAGACAAAACGAAGCACCCAAAGTCTCAAAGTCTGTTTCAGCCTCAGTGGCATAAGGTTGACTCTGGATTCGGGCGTCGTTTCTCATGTTCAACTCAGCTCGAAAGATCAACTCTGCAAGTTCGCATCTCGACTCTGGATTTAGGGCATGAACTTCTCTTCAATCGTTTGCTTCTTTTACAGTTCGACACCCATAAACCTGGCCAAGCCCCCATCTCCCCTCTCCCATCCTCTCCCGTCCTCCACACCACCCCTTTTTCCCTTGGGCGCATGCCGCACACGCCCACGCTCCGCTGGAAAGCGCTCCGGGCTCACCGAGGGCGCCGCGTAGCCGTCGCCGGCGTTCGGCCAGCGCCAAGGCTCGTGGATCTGCTCGGCCGGAAGGTGGCGCAGCTCGGGGAGCCACGTGCGCAGGTAGGCACCTGGTGGAGCTGCCAGTCTATGTGTTTTGCGTGGTTTGCAATATGGTGTTGCCACACCTTATATCAAACAGATTTGCTGATCTGCTAGCATGTTCTAATCAAAGATATGCAAGAATATGCAAAGGTGTCTCATTCCGAATCCACTTCGACCAACCAATCAAAAGATATGGCCCTACTTGTTGGATCTTGTCGGTGTGAACAACTGAAAAGCTCAAACACTTTGCCAGTGAATTTCTTGCCAGATTTCCAATGGTATCTCCGGGACAACGGACCAGTGGATCAGTGGTCTTGCACATTTCCTTTTCGTCCATGTGTCTCATTGTTTCTCTTCACTTGTCAAACTGGTGCACTCCCCTTCACTTTCGCACCAACGACCATCCAAACCCCAGCACCTATTCCTACCCTCTTCCCGCCTTCTGGATCGTACTGCTTCGACTGCTTCACCACGTTGAAGCGATTGGTCCGGTTCCCCACCAGCCCAGCAGCCATGACCCAGTTGCACCAGTTGGAGCAAACGTCGTAGTCCAGCAACTGGCTCTCGAACCACTCGGCACCCCGACGCCAGTCCACCTGGCCCAAGGAAGGTGATGGTCCCATCTGAAAGGATGCGCCCAAAATCATCGGCGCCAGCGCCGTCACCCTGGAGATCTAATTTGATCACTTCTCCCCTCTTCATTCAGCAAACTCGACCGTCCATCTGACCGTGTCTACCCGTCTTACCCGTCTCTGCCAGTGGTTCCATGGGTACCGTTCTCTTGTCAATCGCCACCCATGGCTTGTCTGGGGTTTGTCCTCCAGTCGTTCGGGCCCAGAGCACTTGCAGGTCCAGGATGAGAAAGGACGCCACGTTTTGGCGCCCCCGGTTGGACATCCATCCAGTCGCCCGTAGCTCTCGCATGTTGGCATCCACCAAGGGATACCCCGTCTTCCCATTGATCCAAAGCTCAAACTCCTCAGGCGTTGTGTGGAGAAACGGGACTATGACTGATGGAAAGCAAACAGAATGCCTTGAGAGCCTCAGGGTCTTCAGCATCCAGCATGCATACTCCGGAAGAGCAAGAGGTGGACTGAGCAAAATGAGCTAGCTTAAAACCTTCAAGCAGTCCTGACAAGAATCTCTTTCACATTGTTTGGATGAACATCGCATGGACCATCCCCAAATTAGTCACCGCTGGGGGATTGCTTCTGTAACCTGCAGATTGGTTCCCACTCTTTTGCCGGTGATGAATGTCCAGGCCTTCAGCTTCTTCTATCCCAACCAATCATTTCGGCTAAACACGTCCGCTAAACATGCTAAACACATCCGCTACATCTCCCAACACCAGGCACCTGAGCTGGCCCCCCCCCAAAACACCTGACTCACTTGCTGACCCGCTCTGTCCCCCCGCACCTGGTCTCCACCGCGCCAGACCGGCCTCTCCGGCGCCAGGCCATGAGGGTGGAAGATCCGGGCGCCGTGCTTTCGGGCGAAGAAGTGGAAGAAGTCGCGGACCAACAGGCTGAAGGTGAACCTAGTAGCAAAGGGCATCGCTACTAGTAACAAGGGCATCGCTATTAGTAGCTAAATTGCTACTAGTAACAAGAAGGCACTAGGAACAAAGGGCATCGTTGTTTCGTTGGCAGACTCCTGAGCCGTTTCTCCTGAGCCGTTTGTTGGGTGAGCCTGCTGTTTTTGGTCAAGTGAACCTGCGAGCCTGTTTTGTGTTCCCCTGCGAGTGTCTGTTCTTGTTTCGTTCGTTGGTCATGTTGGTGAAGGCATGTGAGGACTTGCAGGATGGATTTTTTGGGGGTGGAGGCGCAGAACTGAAGGGGTTGGTCGATTGATGAATAGGGTCGGGGGGGGGGGGGGGGGGGGGGGGTTGGGAGGAAATTGGGGTGGGGGGGGGGGGGATAGAGGAACCTTTGGGGGCGAGAAGAAATGGAGCTGGAGCTGGGTCACCTGCTAAGGGAATAACAACTGCAGAAGGAATAGAATTTCAAGGGAATTGGTTTTAACGGTATTAACATGTCGTATTAAACGTATTTCAATTTAACAATGGAATTTCAATGAAGGGGATTTCAAGCTTTTTCACCTGATCAATCTGTTTTCTTGTAAGTACTCTCCGCTGACAAAAAGGCGACAGGACCTCAAGCCAACCTCAACCTGTGATGACCTCAAGAGTGCCGTATTGGTTGGGCAGTTGGGCCCAGGTCCAACATCAATGGACAGTAAACACCCAAAATGGAAATGCATGGAAACTCTCTACCAAGTGAACATGAGTACAGTAAATGGCACTTCCCAACAAGTACAGAAAATGCATAAAAATCGACATGTTCAAGTTCTTTTTCGTTAGAATCTGCTTCTACTGTTGCATTGCACTGAAAGTCCGATCTTTCATCTGAATCTGAAGGAGGGTCTGGTTCGAAGCCCTGGAATCATGGCAAAGCGTTTATGTAAACCACTAAGACAGCTATCCTTTATCCTCTGTTACGCTCTCTCTCGCTCTCTCTCTCTCTCTCTCTCTGGGCTCTCTCTCTCTCCCCTTCTGACCAGGGATGATTAGTGAATATAGGCAGCCTTAGTCGAATCAGTCTGAAAGTTACAGCCTTCTGTCAAAGTGACCAGTATGTGGAAGCGGATGCTCTATTGCTCGCTTCCGTTCGGCGCAACGCTTGAAAGACTTGCCGTGGGGAGAGGCAACCATTTGCAAGGTATGGGGACAGCTTGCTGGAAGCGTCAAAATCCAGCATGTTGTTTCCTGAGTCTTTTGACATGTCCAAATTGTCAAATCCCTCAAAAAAAACATGCACACCAAACATCAAACAGTATGAATCATCCAAAAATAAGGAATATGACGACACCGACCAATGATCCATCTCAAAAAGCGTCTCGTCTCAGCATAGCTCCAGATGGGCCCCGCCATGAACTCCTCCAGTCGTCGCAAGGCTGCCCCTTCGCCCCCTTCGCCCCCGGTCCGAGAGGGCCGCGGGAGGTCCACCCAAGGGAGGTCCTGCCAGGAGGGAACCTCAGAAACAGGGATGATTCAACAAATGGATGAATTGGACTCAAATGAATAGATGATAGTAGATGGATGATGATTTAATTGTTTAATGATCCAAAAATGTTCAGATGGGTGCTCTCTGTTCTCTTCCAACACCAGATTGTTGGTCCATAATGTTTGAGCATGCTATTCTGCACACGGTTTGCAAATGCTTTTATCATTCTACGCGAATGCTTCGAAAGCACTGGTTTCCGGCATGCTTTTGGGTGGACTACACGTCGTATCTGCCAAGCAGGGCCTATGCCCTTCCTGTTGCTTGCAGGGATTTACCAATCAAATGCTGGACAGGTCTTGTAGATTTCGGATGACTTGGCACACATTTTCACTCTTGGGAAAGCGATCTCCCCAATCAACTCGGTCGACAAACCAAAAGGGCAGGGGCCTTGAATCGCTGACCATTGTTCATGATTATGATTCTACACATTCTGTGCCACCATCTGCCACACAAGGACAGTCTCTCAAACCCACCGGTGCAGGTGAGTGACATGTCCAGCAGGAAATTCACAAGAACCAGTCTTTAAATGGCTCTTCTCGGAATCTTCACCCACCACCCATCCAAATTCCGATAGACAATTGCCAACTGGGACGCTTTAGACTTTCCTAGACTGGACCTAGAAGGACAGTAGGAGAGGACTTGTCCTAGTCTAAACTGTCCTTCTTTACTTACTTCATCTTGTTTCTGCTCTTTTACAGCAGGACACTTTCGCCTCGACCTAGACTGCACTCTCCAAGCCCGAAACTCGGACGTCACCCAACGCCAGGTCACCTCGCCGAAATCCAGGTCTTGGGGCTGCGGAAGAGATCCAGCCTTGGCCAGAAACAAAAATGGACCGGAGGAGGTTTGAAGACCTTTGAAGAGTCATCGTGAGATGTCCCTTGGGACACGTTTCACGGCGGATTACACCCAATTCAAAGGTCTTTCCAAAGATTGACTCAGGTTGTTTGGGGAAAACCAACACTGGTGCCGTTCAAAACCATCGAATTTCTCTTGAGAACCTGAGGTGTACTTTGGGCATCGAAAGGAAAGGCTTGAACAACCATTGACCAGCCTTGCGAGGTCACATCCCCACTGTTTCCCACTTAGCCACCTTCAGTTCGTCAAGGACTTCTCGAATCCTCAAAGAACCAACCTCCGCACGACCAGCTTGGGCTTCGCCGTCTGGATCATCCTCGTACTGTGGAGGGATGCCATTGCAGGCGCACGCCAGGGAGGGCGCCACCAGGTTCTTAAAGCGCGTAAAGACGTCCGGCATGTCACTCCTCAAGATGTGCATTCATGATCATTCATGTATGCTTTTGCTATCTTTTGCTCGATTCGTTTGGACGTGCTCAGAAACGTGGGGCAAGAAGCCAACCTAGAAGCCGTATAAAATTATGTTTCTAGAAGCAACTAGTAACAAAGGGCATCCCTACTAAGTATAAGCATGTTTCATGTAGACCGTGTAGACCCCTAAAAGCTGTTCCATGTTCCATGTTCGCTCACACTCGTGACTCACAAGGCGTTGGATATATTTCATGAGCCATGAGCTGGATGAGCAACCAACCCTGGCCTCATCGCCTGTAGAAGTATTTCAAATGCAAACTCAAAGTGCATATAACTCAATTTAGCAGCTCCACAAACTCGCAAGGAGGTTATAAGGAGGTGAGTGCCCTGGCTTCGTCAATGATCAACACGCCCTTTCATGAAACTACGTTACAGTAACATTATGAACCAACAAAAATAAGCTTGTTGAACAAATGGCAAGTCCCTAAAGCTAAAGCGGGCATCGGTCTAGACTCTAGACCTGGACCATCCAAATGAACCGCAAACAACATGGCGTTTGCACTCTCAAACAGCCAAAAGCCAGTCTCTTCACTTGCCAGATCAGATTCAGATCAGCTTCGAAGGGTAAATCCTCCTTGTGGATCAAGGTCCGCCCCCAGCAATACTCCCACGTGATGCCCCGCAAGCTCAACTTCTTCTGCAGCAAGCAGTCCTCACGTCCGCGGACTCTGCGCGGACTCATCGTGCTCCACGACCCACACGAGTGATGTGAGTGATTTGGCAGGTGAGGCCCACAGAGAAAATCCTTTGACAGTGTTTCAGAGTAGATGGCACAGACCCCAAGATGTCTTTTAGATGGGGGTCCATATCGTTCATGTCTGTTCACAGTCTCCAATGACCGACTGAAAGGAGTCGCTTGCCCGCCAATGATTTACACTGATTTCTTAAGACAATATGTTCCCATTTTTTTGAGAGCATGTTTGCCAAGTTGTGGGAAGCGGATCACAGATCTGCCTTGATTTTGGCGCAAAACCTTGGATCGATCTTGGATGAGCTTGGTCTATCGGAGCATGACGTTCAATCATCTCAGTATCTCAGACTGATGCTCGATGCAATATCATGAAACGTCACGAAATCTCCTATGGCCATAGCTCATCTTAGAATTGTTTTCGATATCGATTGACTAATCGATGGATAACACATTAGTCTAACAAAACCATCCCAAACACATTCATCCAAGACTCCAGCGCTTTCTCTTCAAAGGTACTTTCTTCCTGTGTGATCAGGACAGACCCCGACACCTCGTGATCCGCTGACGGCACTGACCGTCGCAAAAGGTCTGGTAGCACCTCCTCCGGCGCACCGATGCCTGGCAGCGCCGCCGGGGCGGTCCCACCCGTGGCCCCCCGGTGGCGCAAAAAACCACCAAAACGAGGTCCCATCTTCCGGCGGAGCCTGGTCACTGGTTTTTGGTCAGGTTCATGAGATGTCAGGATTACATTCTGGTACTCATTCTGGTTATTCTGGTCAACTCAACTTGTTTCACATCTGAAAGTGTGAAACCCCTTGATGAATCACTGTCCACTTCCCTGATTTTCCCAACCTCCCACAACCTCCACAACCTCCAAATCGTCAGTGACCAAGTTGCGAATCAGCAGCTCTGAGCCCAACTCTCGCAACCTCCCCTTGAGATCCCCCAGCGACTGCAGCAGAAACTCTGCGCGTGCGGCGCCCGTGCGCGGCGCGCTAAGCAGCTGCTGGGACGGGGTGAAGTGACGAGGATCCAAAATGTAGAGCACCAGCACCGGCCGAGCAGACCTGTCGGGTGTTTGGTGTTCGTCGCATCACTCAAATCCATCATCCAGCATCTTGATACGATGGAAATTCGGCAGAAACCAGCAAGAGTCCCTCTCTGCCCAGTCTTGCAGGTTGACCCCCTTTTTGTGGATTGAGCTACGCGAACATCCTCACTCGGCTGCCTCGCAGACAGCTCGGCTGCTCTGGACAAGACCTGAAGCACTGCCCCACATGCAAGCGAGACACTTGCAAAGCACAACTTTAAACAAAGAGCTTGCATTGCAGGTCTGCTTTCCTATTTAGGATGGTGCCCAAATAGTATTATGCCGTAGAACTCCAGGTTCTAGCCGCCACAGGGGGTTGCCGGATCGCAGAAAACCCCAGCTTTCACACACCTGGTTGAACCCATTTGGTTGAAGATCAGTTCACCAAAAGTAGGTCCGGTGGATCATGGTGGCTCCAACCATCTGGAACAAAACAGCTAGCACAACCCCCAGAAAAGGATCCGTGAGGAGCACTCCTCCTACTTCTGAGTCACTACATGATCTGCTTGGTAGGCTGCAGCCACCCAAGACAAACTGCCCTCCTTCCGTGGGATCACTCCTCCACCCAGCTCCAGGCACTGGCGAGTCTTGCGTGCGGAGGTCGTTCCGCAGCCAGCAGCAGATCATCAGCGCAAGAAACGCATGCGAGGCAAGCGATATGGGTGTGTATTTTGATGGGGAGACTCCCAACCGGGTTGGGATGGTTTGGGTATATGTTCCTTCTTCCAAAGGGGTCGAACTGAGAAGTCTCCCTACTTTAATACACATCCGTATTGAGATAGAAAACGATTCCACTGAAGATCCTACTGCTTAGAATAGAGGTCTTGTATGGTCTTGTCCACTCTTCGTGCTTTATATTGCCCACAGATTGTTTGGGGAGGGGATACCCCAGCAGTACTTCAGTCCATTCAACATGCAAAAACAACAGAACTTCAGTTGGTGTGAGTCAGTTGCGCTCCTGCATGATGTCTCGGGTTCTTCTTCCAATAATTACTATTCCTATAACAATAATTCTCTGATAAAGCTGGTTTTCCAGGGAGAAGTAAGTAAAGGCAGCTGATTTTAGTAGTTCATTGATTCAAGCCTCGTTATTGGTATCTCAGACTATGCCCTCATCCGCAGAGTCGTCTGCACATGAACGAGCAAGCTGTGAGGAGCAAATGCAACTGCAATCACGGACAAACTGAATGGTACCAGTCTGCAGTATATGCCATGCAATGTATCTATATAATATGTCATCTGGTGACAAACAAAGTCCCTAACCCTCTGGCCCGCTGATAGACTATCCCAGCATTTATCTGACTTGGTGCTGCACCATCACCTACTGTCATGACCTTTGAACTCCTGTTGCGTATCTTCATTCTGCTTCGATTCTCCAAACCACCATGCCACCACCACCGCAGTTCAGGGTGAGTGTTCTCACCCTCACCACCCGACCCACCCGATGCTGCACTACTTGAAACAGGCTTCCCCACTTGACAGGCCTGGAGCTTCTTCACTTGCTCGGCCATGACCTGTCATGTGCTGAACACGCCACACCACGACACCAACCCGCGCGCCGTGGTCCAAAACATGGGGAGTCGGAGACTGCTTGGGGGCTGCGCGAGTTGGAAAAACAGCTCTCTCTCTCTCTCTCCCTAATCAAGAAGAAGACCAGTGCATGTTTGATCCTGGTTGGTTTCTTCCTCTACCCAGAAGTGGTTGAGTCCAGAAGTGGTTGAATCCAGTGTGCATTGCCCGAGGACCAGTACATGTGG